GGTACAACTCGGTATTTGCTAGATATTTAAAATATATCCAAAAGGTGATGGGATGTTGTTCGGCTCGTCAAGGAATTAAAAAAACGCAACCGCTAGAACCCAAAAAACAGCGGGTCGGGTCGGCGACTTTTCTTCGTGCTACGTGGCGCTAAAAGGTTGGTGGCCAAACGTAGAGGAGCGTACGTTCACCGAACCAAATAAAAGTTCGTGAAGCCCTGAGCCTAATGGGTAAATTTTAAAAGTATCATTAATTAATTTATTATATGATTAAGTATGTTCTAAAAGAATTTTAAAATAGGCAGAATCCGGCCACTTACTTGTCTATTCAGTATTTATTAAAATCTAAAAATATCAACAAAAATTTAAAGTTACTGTTGAAAGTTTTTCGTTGATATATTTATATTTAATATATTTAAATAAAATTAATATTGCTTACCAAATTAGACACCATTGCAGTTCTCTCAAGCCAAATTTAGAGACCACTTGGCCAACCAATTAATATCACAAGCTTTTTATTTTACATTAAGCCCTTGTTTTGAGCTCATTTAAATTCGAATTGGAAACTCCTAATTAAATTTTATTCTTATACCATTCTAATTTTTTTTTTTTTTGCAATATTAGAATTTCTTAATAATTTATTTAAAAATTAAAAACTAATTTTAAAATATACTAGAAAATTATAATTAAAAACTATACTAAACAGACAAAATTAAAAAAATAAAATTTTATCTTTAAATGTAATTTGTTTTAAAGCTTTTTAATTGCAAACATAATTGAAAGTTGCATTTTTTTTAAACATAAAATTTATTTTAAAATAATATAAGAAAATAATATTACATTGTATCTAGTTGTCCATTCAACAAGCAACTTAGTAAATTATTTTTCATTTTTTTGTGATATTTTTAATTTTTTTTAAATACTGACTGGGCAAATAAGTCGCCCGTCAAACTAACGACTATGCCATTTTTTTTTAAACATATTCCATCGCATAATTTGTTTATTAACAATACTTGCTTTTAAAATTTACCCAATATCATAATCTAAATAAAATTAACAGTGCACACCTACAATAATCGGTGGAAACAGTAGAGAGTCCATTTAGAGTATTGCGAAGATATTAGAGTAGAAGACCAGTTGTAATGTCTATGGCAGATTTGTATAGTAAAACAAAGCACAACTAACCATACAAAGCCCTCTTTTGGCCTACCATTAATGAGAATATAAATTAATCATCAGCCCAATAGAGAAGCATGCCCAACACTATTTATTCAACCAAAATCTGGAGTTGTAGGAACTAAGGTTCTGACATTGTTGGGTTCTAAATCCACCAAAATGACACCAAGAACTGACGGCTTCGCCTCCATATTAGCCATTGGTAAGGCAACCACCAAAAACATCCAAGAACAGAGCACTTACCCAGACTATTTTTTTCGTGTCACCAACAGTGAGCACTTGATCGATCTCAAGAAGAAATTCCAACGCATATGTGACTCATCGATATCTAATCTCCATTATAATGTAATACTTCTCTTTAGTTTGCAACGGCTTATCACAAATGGGATGAAATAATAATGAATTCATTGAACTCCATCCGTAGGTGATAAATCTTCAATTAGAAAGCGCCATTTCATTTTGAATGAGGAGCTTCTCACAGGAAACCCTTTCCTTTCTAAGTTTATGGAAAACTCTATAAACGCAAGGCTTGAAATTTATACAAAGGAGATACAAAAGTTGGCCATAGAGGCAGCCACCAAAGCAATTCAAGAATGGGGACAGCCTAAGTCATGTATCACTCACCTCATCTTCTCCACCTTGAGTGACACTAGCCTACCTAGTAGGGACTACCACCTCATACAAATCCTTGGCCTCAACCCAAATATTGAACGTGTTGCGATCCTTCAACATGGTTGTTTCACAGGCAAAACCACGCTTCGTCTTGCAAAGTGTCTTGTTGAAAGCCACAAAGGTGCACGTGTTCTTGTTGTTTGTGCAGAGACCTCCACCATGTTGTTTCGTGGACCATCTAAGGAGCACCAAGAAGACCTTATTACCCAAGCCATATTTGCTGATGGTGCCTCTGCACTTATAGTTGGTGCCAACCCAAACGAGACTATTGGTGAGCGGGCCAGCTTTGTCATAACATCTGCATCTCAGGTAATTTTGCCGAACTCATCACATGCTACTACAGGCCATTTTAGTGAAGGAGGTATCAAAGCCACAATCCATAAAGATATTCCGAACATCATTTCCAAAAATATTGGAATGTACTTAGAAGCAGCCTTCACCCCACTTGGTATTTCAAATTGGAACTCAATTTTTTGGGTGGTTCATCCAGGTGGTCGAGTCATTTTAGACCAATTAGAAGAGAGGCTTGGACTAAATCCAGAGAAGTTGACGATTTCATGGCATGTGCTTCCTGAGTATGGAAATATAATGGGTGTATGTGTGCATTTTGTGCTTGATGAGATGCATAAAAGGTGGGAAAGACTATGATCGGTGAGGGCCTTGAGTGGTGTGTTCTTTTTGGATTCGGGCCAGGTCTAACCCTCGAAACTATCATTCTGCATAGTGTATCTCTCTAATAATAAACCTCCATGTCTCAATCCACTTTAATGATAGGATTTTCATCATTATATATCTTTAATAAAATAAATTCATGTTATTATTTCCCAAATGTGTTTTTACGAGCATTTACACCTACCTATAAAGTTTGAAACCAATCATTTCTTTTGAATGAAACATATGGGTACATTAAAAAAAAAATATTTTGAAAAGTATGAATATAGATTTCTAGTGAATTTATTATGACTTATTCTTTTATTAAAGTTGGATTTATCCTCTTAAAGCTTAGCCTTAATGCTTAGGGTTATTATCTTAGGGTAGGGACTTTTCCTATAGGACCTTCTAACGAGCATTCCATTGGACTTAGCGCTGGCTAACCCTAGAAAGCTTAATTCTTTAGCTTATTCCTTTCTATAGGACCCTTAAGAATGTTAAGTTAAATTAACCCTAGTTTAGCATTAAGTGTTATGCATGACACTTAGAAGACTTTCCTATGTTCTTTTAAAACAATATAGAGTATATTAACCATTCAAAATCTCATTATCTAAGGGATGGAATTATTCAAAAACCCAAAAACTAAGTTTGTCCATAGGTGATCACCATGGGCCTTATTATACTACCTATCATCTAATTAAAACCATTGATTAACCCAAGAAACCCCTATCGATCCTTAAGAAACTCCGTAGTTACAATAGATAATTATTGAACTCCACTAAGTCAACCTTAACTAAGCTCTAGACCAAACCAAAATGGACTCAATACTACGTAAATAACCCAAAAGCTCTAGACCAAACCCAAATGTACTCAAAACTACATAAATAACCCAAATCCTATGACCTTCCCTAGGTAATTTTTGACATTAAGATTCATCCTAGAACTTTTTGACTCATTCTTTTACTCACCCTATAGATTCAAGAATATTTCTTAACTCTTAATCCAAAATAGAATAGAAAAATAAAAAGTGTCATTATGACTTACAACTATAGTCTAAACTTAATTATTATTATGAATATTTTGACTCATGTCGGATATATAGTACAATCCCAGTAACCATGTCTAACCCAAAATTTACCCAAACTATAGAATGACCCTAAACCCAATCCAAACATCCAAACCTAATATTATGGCCTTGGATTGGAGTCCAAATGATTCTAATCCATAGAAAGATCTTTGAGAAATACATTTCCACATGATTTGAAATTTATATTTTTATGATCAAATACCACATAGAGAATAACATACTATCTCGAAAGATAAAAATGATATTCTACTATCAATTTGAAAATAAAATAGAGTACTCTATCTTTATAATCAAGTATAACATTGAAAGTAACATACTATTTTAAAAGACAGAAATGATATTCTACTAACAATTTTAAATAAAAATAAGTTTTGAGAAATGCAATACATTCCCAAAGAATTTTCCCTTACATGAAAGAACTAAAATAGAGTTTATTTTAAGTTAGTGTTTTATGTTCCACCTCTCTAGAACCCCCAAGAAACTAAGGATGATGACTGGAGAAGATGACGATGGATCCTTTCTTGGAGCAACTTTTGTGAACCCCCTCACAAACTCCCCCTCACAAGATCTTCTCTCTCTCTCTCCCTTGCTCTCCCTCTCCTCTTGGCTCTCTCAGGTCAAAGCAATAGCAAAAGATGTTATAAAGGGAAGAAAAAGTGCTCTTTAATAGAAGAGCTTCAGAATAGCTCATTAATCGTAACTTGTTGACTTTATCATTTGAGTGAGGATACTTTGGTTACACCCTCAATCAGGTGTGATGTGTGTGGACTCTAGTGTTGTTCCTACTATTAATTCTCCATTTATGCCAACTTTAAATTCTCTTTTTGTTGAGGTCCCTATTAATTTAGTATCCCCTAAGGCGTTGGTTGCTCAAGTAGGTGTCAATTCAAAGGAGAACGTTAGGATGCAACTTGACTGGCTTCAATTCTCTTCTGATTCTTCTTAGGAAGCTAGTGAGGATGATGTACCTAGGGTTGATTTTCCCTTATCGAACAATCATCTTATTATTTCAGTTTCTTCTCGTGGGAGGGATATGGGAGGAAATAAGTTTTGGGTTGGTGCTATTGTCTTTGGTGGTTCTCGGCTATCTTTGCTACTTCTCGATGGTGGTTTTTGTATTGATTGGCGTAGCTTGTGCTGGTTCATTGGAGATTCGATTTATATTTATATTTGGCCATTTGTTTTGCTGGGCAATGATGTTTCTGGGGCTCGCTTCTCCGTCGTCATGGCTTGTGGCAACCTTTGGTAGTGGTCTCTTGCTCGGTTGGGTTGGCTGCTTCGTGATTTACAGCTATCTTCATCAAATTGGATGATCTGAGCTTAGCTTCGGGGAAGCTGGAAGTCTCAGTCAATTACTAAGCCCATTGGGTTGTAATTCCCTTGTATTTTCTGTTGCTTTCATGTTATTTTTCTCCTGTGCATCTTGTACTCTTTTTATGATTTAAAAAAGTTTTTTATTTTGTGTTAAAAAAAATACTAATATAGGGACTCATAAGAGTCAGAATTATAATTTGTTATATCTATTGAAAGGCATAAAGGAATGTGGAAAACATTCTATTTCGAGAAATAGATGTGATGTATTTATTATTTTCTGCTAATTATGATTGGTGTATCACAGTTATTATTCTCTATCATGTTTCGGTTTATTCTTAGTATTTTCTTTTGTACTTTTATACTGATAAATTTACTCTACTATTTTTACTTAATTTCTATCATTCATTATTACCAAAGATGTAGTTATGTTGAATTTGGCTTACTAAGCTGTCATTACTCATGTCAACTTTTTTCTATTCATTTCAAATAAGAATAAGGAGAGGGCATGCTACTTTTTTATGAATATTTTTTAATAAAATTTAGCTTAATTGGTATTAGGCTTATTTATTGTCTATTTGAAAAAACAAAATTCAAGTTTAATTTTTAGAAATTGATATTAGGGTATTAAGGTTGATTATTTAACTTTTGAGATTTTCCAATGGTTTTAGAATTTAAAAACAAAATAATGAGTGAACTACTACATATATATATATATATATATATATATATATATTCATGATGAAAATTTATTTTTTTATACTAAATTTTAAATAACTTAAAAAGAATTCCTTTAGAAAATAAAAGTAATTAAATTATGATTCTATTTTGAATTTAGAATTATAAGTGGTAAATTTATATATAGAGAGAGAGAGAAAAAGATAAGAAGATTATATGCATCACAATTGATAGCCACTGCATAAGAGAAATATTGCTATCGATTCTTATGTAGTTTAAAAGATGCAATTAGGCAACCTTCAACACCTTTGGGAATTGAGGATTATATAATATTTGTAAGGAGACCTAGAAGGGTGGAGATCTACTTTCAAATCATTCCAAAGCGAAGGGATAAGCATAAAAACAAGATTATCAAAGAAAATGTGCATGATAATTTATCTGAAAGATTAAATGGGAAGAAGCCTTAGTTCAGTCTTAGTGGAGATAATAGTAGTGTTGCATGAACAGTGATTAAAGCATGTGCTAAGTGTGAAAGATTTCATAGGAGTGAATGTTTGATGGGCTCCAACAGTTGCAACTAATGTCTTTAGCCTAGAAACATATTAAAATATTTCCCGACGTTGGGTCAAAAGACTTCAGGAGAAGCGAAATTACATGGAGCACCTCTACAAAAGAATTCATATAAACAAAAGTTGATAGAATCAATAGTTTTATCTTCAAAAAAAATCAAACACAGGAAAATATTTGAATGCGATCGAGTTTAAGCTTTGACTTAGTGGGATTCTAATAAATGTATAAATGTTGACAAATAGTTGAGATGTCCTTACTACTTTAGACATAGTAACTTGTTATGTTATATCAGATATTTTATTTATCTAGTTATGTAAACAATATTAAGACTTATGATGAAAGAAGTTTAAGATATTATTTTGCTAATGTAGAAAACAACTATGTTTAATTTATCTCATGATAGCATAACATTAGTAGAAGTTATAAGTAAATTTTAATGGCAAAATTTTTATAAGCAAGGAAGATTACAATATCCAAAACCAACGTGCTTGGAGTCGAGGAAGAAGAAGGAGGTTAACAAGGTCGCGGTCGAAGTGAATCAAAGAGTTGAGAAAGGGGAGGTAAAGGAACGTCTGTCACTTGGTGTCTAGGAGACGAAGGATTGGGTCGTTTCAGTCAATGTGGCTCTGTTTTGTATAAAATATTAATATGATATACAAATAGTCACCTAATGAAAGCCACAATGTAGATGTTGGTCTATTTTATTAACATTTAGATTATTTCAATTAAAAAATCAAATATTTGTTAATTAGTAATATTTTCTCATCTTTAAAAAATAAGTGATGCTTTAGTATTAAAAGCATTGAAACATTTATAGATATGAGAAATAACAACAATGCTCTTGCTGAGGTCATATGCTTATATAGATTATATCTAGCTAGAATTTCGTAGTTATTTAAATCAAAGTTTGGTCTGATACAATATTAAACATTATTCATGTTTATTTTTTAGCTGACAATATAACTTATCACTAAAACTTTCAAAACAGTTACCGAACATTTTAAAAAAAAAATCAACAGATGTGTACACTAATCATAGTTATTTATGTCAAAAAAAAAAATTTATATAAGTTAAATAATCATACAATTAAACAGTTCCAAAATCTCATCCAAACAAAGCCTATACTTATAAATTAAACAAATCCATGTAATGGTTTACAAAATAACAATAATAATTAAAAAAAATGCATTATAGATTCCAATCTACTTTCTTTTTTTTTTTTTTGGTTAAAACCCACCCATGGGCCTATGTGTAAAAATTCAAAATAGGTTGCGAGGTCCTTAAAGGGACCTCTGGGTCCCTACTGCTCAACTAAGCTACGAAAAAAATAAAAAAATAGTTACGAGCTGAT